GTTTTTGGCTGAGGCCGGGTTTGAACCTACCACCTCCGGAATATGGGCCTGGTGCCCTACTTCTTTGAGCCACAGGCACTGCCCCCATCCTATACATTTTTAAAGCTGAATTGTCTTCAACTTCCTGAAGTCATGTTGTGATCCACCCCTGCTGAGACATAGTGACCATGGCTCGATAGCTGTGGCTGCTCCAGGAAATCTCTGATTTGGCTGAGAAGGAGGTGAGGATGCTGAGGACAAGGCAGTGACGATGACTCACACGTGAGCTCTTCTCTGTTGGGCGCTGCTGACAGCTTGACTTGTCATTTTTCATGCAGTGACATGTGACAGTTTTGCTTCCCGTTTGCAGATGAGGAAACTGAAACTTGAGGCTTCATTCATTTTAATTACAGGAACAGAACGCAGCAGGCAAGCTGAGCTCTGTGCCTGCCACATCTCTGTTTTCTGCTTTTTCTGTCATTTAGGCGTCACACGAGTGAGGGCACCCAAGGCCACTTGGGTATGAAGTGGCTGGCAGAGTTTGCAGCTGAGTCTGTCTGCCTCTGCGGTCCACGCTGAAAAACACTGCACTGCCTGTGACATGACCCAGGACCTTCCATGGTGGGGCTTCCCTCCTTCATCCTCCTGGGTCTTCAGTGATGAGTCTCCAATAATCCTCAGGCAGTCAAGGTACAAAACCGGGGGGCAGCTTTCATTTAAAACAGTTCTGAGACTGCACATTTAAAAACTAGAAGTCCCCTTATCCTTCTTATAAACCAGCATTAACACCATCTCCTCTCATCCTGCTCATAGTTCAACAGACGGAAGTCAGCAGAAAGCCACCTCTCATGGCCTCTGATTTTGTCTTTATTTTCTGAAAATCATTATAATCCACCCTTATGCAAGAACAGGAGACACTATCTCTTAATTTGCATCTTTTGAGAAAGTACAAGTGACAATGAACTTGATGCCGTTTCGTTTTGCAGGAGGACAGGACAGGTGCCATTCCTCTGTCATGAATCTGACGATAAAATCTAGAGAGAGCCAGATCTCTACTTTGTTAACATTTTTATTGCTACATGCTCTGAATACAACAAATAGCTTCAGTAGTGTACACTTCAATAAAAAGGAATTTTTAGCTTTGTAGAAAAGAGAGCTCAAAGGTCAGAAGGATAATGAACACAGATGTCATTACCGGAGGTGTGTGTGTGTGACCGTTCTTCTGTTTCCCTGTAGACCAGACATATGCGCACGCAAGTAAACTAGAGAGAATTTTATTCTAGGGAAGTTGTTAGGGGAAAAAAGACTATTACTTGAGGCTCAGGGATTGCTTTACTATCTTGAATTAACCTAATTCACTTGATCTTCAAAATTCTTGCACAAAGTAGCACTGATGCTTTTAGAGGTATGAGGCCAATGAGTTAAATGCTGTTAGTTTACAATGGTCAAAATGCAAAATGTCTTGTGTATTCTGTGCTTGGAGAGGTTAACACATCTACATTTTAGTTTGCATAATACATTTTTAGACAGCTCGAGTACTGACCTCAAAAACATTATGCTGATAATGCTTATCTTTCTTTTCTAAGTATAATTCATAAAACCTTTATCTCTTTTACATACTTTTAAAAATGTTTCTAACTCACTGTTTCATTAAACAGCCAGCTGAGCCCATACAAAGTTTACATTTCCTTGAAGGGGAACAAGTCATCAGCTTAATATCAACACTTTAAAAATGCAAAAGGTTTTAATAATGTCAAAATTTGTTCAGTTTTAGCTCTTTGAGCTGGCTAAGGAAGTTTGCTTAAAGATCTCTTCTATCACAGAACAAAGTACACACATATAATTATATCTCTCTAGTTTCCCAAAATATGTCATTGATAGTAGTGTAAATATTTAGTACATAAAAATACTATCAAGGAAAAAAATTCAACTTTTAATAAATATCTTCGGTTCTGAATTCTATATACAAGTACTTTACATCGACTCCCTGGAGAGAGCATTTCTGGCTTTGCTGTGAGCAAGGCGGCCACGGATATAAATTACTAGCACATTATTGCAGTCAGATGCATTGTGGTTGCAAACATTTGAATATGAACCATGTAGAAAATAAATATCTCAACCATTGACAAATGCTTACTCGATCCTATCTCCAAAGCCCCAAAGCCCTATTATACTCAAATGTCAGTTCTGGATTGATAATGTTTTTCTCAGCTACGAACAAACGAACAAGTCATCCCAGAACATTTTTCTTCATGATTATTACAGTACATTCAGTGAAACTGCTTGTATTCACCGACAACGGAAAATGAAAATGGTAACAACAGCACCACCACGAGAGCGCAGGGCACCTCCCTGGCATCTCTTGAGGGCCTGGGAAAGGCCTTTGGTTTTGTCCGGCACAGGCTCATTACGGGCCTGGTTCCCTGTCAGTGAAGCACGCTAGGACATCCACCCTGCTCCTTTTAGCTGTGAGGGCAGAAGGCAGCAGGGGGGCTGGGATCTGTGTGTCGGCAGCTGCTCTGTTTTGTTCCATCTATAATTTAGGGATCACATTGTTGATTCCGCAAAACCATACAGCAAAACCCTCTGTCATGTCAGTAGCTGTAATTCTAACTTCTCTTTTGTAACATTTTGCTTTGAAAGTCAACCTACAGGATGTCAAATAAGGCAACACTTAACGGCAGGCACCAGGAACATCCAGAAATGTGACATAGTAAACAATCATCTGAGAACAGCTCTCAAAATAATACTGATTTCTGCAATATACAGTATTTACACAACAGCTGCAAATTTGCTCATACAATATTTCTAATGTAGATAAATAGGAATACAAGTCTAAGAATTTTTTGCTCCATTTCCATTATTTCTTGTTAAAATGTAAACCATTGGTATCTCTTTTTTAATTTTTACCATACCTTTTTTAAAACAACAAAAACTCAGCTGATATGCACAATCGGTTCCCGTCCCTTTTCTGTCTCAGAGAGTAACCAACACACTCCGCAACTTGTTTTTCTCCTGTTCAGAGCCTTTGGCGCTTTCTTCCAATGAATTCTGGTAAACCGTGGATGCAGAACCGTGGAGGATGAAAGCAGCTAGAAGTGAACCAGCACTTTTGTTTTTCCACTTACAGACACGTGGGAGTTGATGACTCCAGAGATTTCCACTTTAAACAAGCGTATGCACCATGGGGAGAGGGAGGTTGTCCTGGTTCTCCTCTGAATTCCAGACTTTGGGGTCCACGTCCTCATCTTGCCGAGGCAGATGATCTTACTGGATGTCTCTTGTCAACCATCTTTTCATCTTTCTTTGAGGTTCCAGCCTGAGAAGCACCTACTGAGTCACTGACCGCGAGGATGGCGGCAGTAGCCGTCTGCGGAGCTGAGTGGAAGTGGCCACTCCGGTTGGGTGGGGAGGATGGACCTGAGACCAGCCTCACAGTCCTTCCTACCTGCTGAGCCCCCCTGGGGGGCAAGTTAGCCGGGTGGGGTTCACTGTGTGGCCTGAAGGCAGCAGATGCGCCTGAGCCCCCCATGGAGACCCCACTCAGAGATTTCTTCTCTGCAGGGGTCTCTGGATGAGAAGGAACCAAAGAGGCCAGCATGGCTGGAGACCCAGGGAGGTCACTAGGGTTAGAGACAATGTCATCCTGCATTTCAGCAGCTTCTAGAAGGTAGGGTGGTGGCAGGGTGCTGCCGCGCCTGCTGCAGGACTCACAGCACAGCCTGTTGTACCCTGGGATGGAGCAGTACCGTGCCAGCACCTCCATCTGGCAGAATATGGACTTGTCTCCCAAACACGGCTCATCTGCAGAAACGGAAAGAAAGCAAAGTGACACGCTCACTGGGCACTGAAAGGAGGAAAGAAACTGAAACTGCTACAGAATATCAGAAGATGGAAGTGAAGTCTGACATCAGTGGGAGCGTTCTGTAGGAGCCCTGCTTCAAAAATACAAAGGAACAGTAGGGTGACCCACTGATGGAGGAGCTCCTTATCTACAGAGTGCAGGACGATCGCCGTTTCCACAAACAACCAGGAGTCTTCACATCTATGAGGATTTTATTTTCTTCAAGGTAGGAACATATTATTTGATTTTAGGATGAGAAGACAGGATGTATTCAGTTAACCTTTTAGCTAAATGTTCAGGACAGGAAGAGGCAAGTGTTTTGTTATTTTATTGTATTTCTGGCTTTCTCATAGGGTGACTGCTATATTAAATTTCAATTTAAGATCAAAATAAATAATAAAAACCTGTTGCAATAAAATAAATCTTAAAATTGTATTATCCAAAGAAAAAGAAAACCTGTTGGTTTTTATTATTTATCTTAAAAATCTTAAAATTGTATTATCCAAAGAAAAATGAAAACATCATTTTGATCAAAAGAACATACTCCAGTTTGAATATAATAGTTTCGTGTTTACCGCTGAGTATTCTCAGGGTATTTGTTATATGAAACACCAATTTGTGTGAAATGCACCAATTTTCTTCTTAAGAATGTATAGTTCTTAAATTTAATTTCATCACATGGACAGCATTTTATGTTTACAGGCCACTGAATACATGAAACCCTGGATAACATCTAAAGTAACACTCAGAAAACATCTGATACAAGTATGTACATGTGCTATTTTTATTTTAAAATTTTGATGACTGCAGGGTAGAAGAACTAGATTTCAAAATTTCAGATAATTCAAATCTTGAGCTCAAAAAGCTGTTACTCCTTCCTTTCCTGTCCTGTGGGAGGGAGCAGACCCAGGTGCGCAGCACTCCCGGACACGGGCAAAACCCACGGGCTTGCCCCACTCCCAATTAACCAACACACAGAACTGGAAATTGTGGCCTTTATGTAACAGAATTAAAATTTCAGCACATTATTGCATAATCCCATATTGCTAGGTAGGGAACCTGCTGTACAACTCACCAAAGAAACTAAAAAATCTTTTCTCTAAAGACTGAAAAAAAAAAGAACAAAGAAAGAAAATGTCTCCTCCTATATGTTTGGACTCTAGGCCTGAGGATGACAGGACCCTCTCTAACCTTGGACTCTCTTCCTCCTCCGATCCTTCCCCTCCCAGAGTGTGGTCTGTTCTCTCTGTGTTAGAGAAGGGGCCCACATGAGACTCTCACATCTATGTGTGAACACTTTGAAATCTCTGGTCTCATTAGGGCCAGAATGTACTTTTTTGTAGAGGAGGAAGAGGAAGACATATTCTGAGAAACAGCAAATAGGAACCAAGGAATACACGGCCTTCATAGTAATCTGCCTGGGAAGGGATGGGAGGAGCTAATGGCAAAAAATTAAATCATACAATCAAATAGGTCCAATCTCAGCCATCATCACACTCGCCTGTAATCCTGGCTATGAAACAGGCTAAAGCAGGAATATTGTTTATTTGAGCCTAGGAGTTCAAGGCCAGCCTGGACAACACAGCAAGACCCCATCTCAAAAAGAAATGAGATGAAGTCACATGACAAAATCAGTATTTAAAACTAAGGACACTTTTCAGCCTTCTTGCTCTGCTTCCAAATCATTAGGAGAAGTTCAGCAAAAGGGTTTTACATGTGGTCTAAAGAAACCATTGGGTCCTAACAGCAGTTTGAGATTCTGATGGGAAGTATTACTTATTTAATTGATATCTGATAGAAACATGTGACCTTTCAGAACTTCTCCAATTGGCCTTTGGACCTAGCTTCAGAGCAACCCAGCAGCTAAAAGGAATGTGGAATCACTCACATAGTTGTGCTGTTATTGGTACCTTGGTTTTTACAATAACACATTTTCTTTTATGGAAAAGAGGAGAATCAAGATGATTCTTGCTGACCTTGGGAACATGTACAGACATACACAGCTGTGCCAGCCCTGAGGACCAATACAGCTTCTCCCCAAGGAATGACTATATGAGAATAAGACATTATGGTGAAAGTAAACTTTAAAGCTTTTAACTGGGTGAAGTTTTTTCTTTTGGTTTTGACTTATACTTTGAGCTTATAAAAATATTTTCCAAAGCCAAATCATTAACTATATAAGTCCTATGTCTCCATCTCATGGTCATATTTCTTATCACCACAGTTACAAATGAAAATTTATAATGAAATACTTAATCAGATTTAGAAAAACATAAACCTGAAATTTCTTTAAAAAATAAAACATTTGATAAGATAGTATCTTGCCAATTTTGAAAAAAAGGTAGCTTAAATATCAGCAGGTGTCAATAACTAACCTATGCCTTACTTACAGTGTTGGAGGCCAAGGAAAAAGCAACTTCTTTAATCCTGAGCCTCACTAGTGTGTCAGTGTCCACAGAGGTCATGGGCATGGATTTAGAACTGCATGTGGGAAGGAGAGAACAAGGGGGATGGATGATGGGATGGGGAGGGAGAGACAGAGGATGGGATAGGGACAGACCAGACAGGGGAGAGGATGGGAAGACAGAGATGGGGAGAAAGAGGTGGACACGGGGAATAAAACAGAGCTTGAGGAGGAGAGACAGAAAGCAGGTGGGTACTATGGTCTCCACGTTTGTGTCCCCTCCAATTCACATATTGAAAATTAACCCCAAAGTGACAGTATTAAGAGGTGGGGCCTTCAGGAGGTGACTAGATCATGAGGATGGTGCTTTTGTACCTGGGATCAGCACCTGGTTACAATGTCTTCTGCAGCCCTTCCTCCCAGGTGAGGACAGAGCACAGGGAACCATCCAGGAAGCCCCCACCAGACACCACGTCTGTTGACACCTTGGGGACTTGCCAGCCTTCAGAACTGTAAGCAATAAACTTCTGTGTTTTTTTTAAATTTTGTATTTTTAATAAGTTACTTGGGCTAGAGCTTTTGTTATAGCAGCCAGCTGGAATGAACTAAGATGGTGGGGAAGAGACAGAAAGAGATGGAGGTAGGAGTGATGGAGAGACAGAGAGAGACAGGGTGGGAGACATGGAGAAATAGTGAGATGCAGATGTGGTCAGGGAGAGAGGAAGGTGGGATGGACAGGGAGGGACAGCGTGAGAGATGCAGGGAGAGAGGGTGGGAGGGGAGAGAGAGAGAGCAAGGTGGAGTGCACGGTGGCAGGAGGACACTGGGACAGGGAAAAGTGGGACAGAGAGGGACAGGCAGACTCACGGGGAAGAGAAAGATGAGGAAGGAGACGGAAGAGGAAAGTGAGGACCAGAAAGCAGGTAGGATGGACAGAGAGAATGTAACATGCCAGCAGCAAGGGATGGGACCTCGGGGTCAGAGAGCCAATCAGACGCTGAGAATGAGAGAGAAGAGGAGGGTGAGACGAGGGTGGGAGACAGACGTGGACAGAGAG